AAAATAAAGCAAATTACAAGTTTTTATATTCAGTTAAATATTAGAGGTATTGAAAAATAATTATAAGATTGTGAATAAGACAAGACCTCTTTTTAATAAAAGCAATAAAAAATAACTGATACTATAACTCTTTTATGTTATATAATAAAATTTTAAAAAAATAATCTAACATACTATAATATATTAAAAATAAAAAAAATGCAGATTAAATTAAGATTTAGTAATACAAATCTAAGCTTAACTAAAAAGAATAACAAAATTGTTACTATTTTAGAAACTAATTTTACAAAAAAAATTGTATTAGTTTTAAAAAAACCAAAGTTAATATATATAGAACACTTGATTAACAAAAAAAAATTAAATAATTTCTTAGTACCAACTTAAAATATTGTAAGATTATTTATATAAAAGCAGGCAAGCAGTATGATTTATTAAATTAGAAAAAGAACTTTTAAAAAATAAATATAATAGAAAGTTAAAGAAAATATAACTAGTTTATAAACCAAATAAATATGTATTAGAAATACAAACAAAGACAATATCAAAAGATAGGAAAAAAAATAGATTCTAATAAAAACAAAAAAAAGGTTGAAAATATAAGCTTAACAATTAAAAGAATTATTACAAGTATACCAAAGAGGATTTTAATAAAATATTAAAAAATAAACCTAATTTCAAAAATATTAAAATCAAAATTAATAAGATGTAAAAGTTATAATCTAGACTAAAGTATAGATAAGAAAAACTGTTCAAAATAAAAAAGTAAAAATAAAATTTAAAGATCAATAACAAAATTTATAAAAAAATAAAAAAATTATATATTAGAACTAGATTATAAAATAATAAGCTATTTATAGAATAAAAGAATATTAATATTCAAAAAAGACAAAAGAAAATTAGAATCAGTACAGTAATTGGATTTAAAAACAAAAATTATTCAAAAGTAATCTATAAGTTAACTGATAAAAAATAAGCTTATTAAAAAAAAAAGAAAAAACTAAACAAGACTAGAAGAGAACTTATTTTCTATATGAATAAATCTTCAAGACAAGAAAAAAGAAAGAAAAAAAAAGTTTTAATTACATAAATGCAGAATAGATCAAGTAGATATGAAAAAAAAGTTCTTAATAAAAGTTTTTTTAAAATACAAAATTAGTTATTATTAATAAAATCAGAGCTTTTAATAATATGATATATGTTACTTATAATACCAAAAAGAAAAAAATTTGGAATATTTACAGATAGTGTAGTGATTATTGTTAACTTAGAAGATAAAAATATAAACTTAATATTTAAGTAATTATTAAAAAAGAATATTATAACTTAGTTAAGAATATTAGAAGTAATATAAATTTAAAAAAATTAAAAATAGAATTAGTCTAGATAAAAAAACATAATATAAATAGATAAAACAATAAAATAGACAAATTATCAAAAGAAGGATTGAGAATAGATAGAATAGATAGAATAGTTATAGAACTCTCCAAGAAACCAGTATTGAACTTTGTTAGAAAAAAAATGGTAAAATACCCAACCAGACAATTTATAAAAAAATCTTGAACTTTAAAATAAATATAGAATAAAGATTTACTTCAGCAATTAGAAAGATAGAATCAAATAAGAATTTTATAATTTATACTTAATCACATCTTTGAAAAAAAATCAATGATCAAAATAGAAGCAAATATACAAGTAAAAAAAAAAAATTAGAAATATTAATAAAATATTTAAACAAATGATTGCCAGTAGTCAAAACATTAATACAATAATGTTTTAATTTTTATAAAGAACCAATTTGTATTTTTTGTAAAGAAAATAATGAAAAAATCAAAACTCTTTAACATTATACAAATACTATAAAGATAGTTAAAAAATTATAGAGAACAATTCAATAAATCATATATGGTCAAATTTATTAAAAGAAGTTTAAGTAAAAATAAAGAAAGTTCAATTTAAAGAAATATTTTAAGATATATATATAGAATAAATTTTTAGAATAAGATATGAAATAATTAAAGATCTAATAAAAAAGATTATAAATCTTTTAAAAGAGATAATTCAATTAAGCAAAGAAACTAAAAAATTCTTAACAATAGTAATTAATACAACTTGAAATAGCTTTTATAAAGCTATATGAAAAAAATAATATATAACTTTTATATTATAAAAAAAGATAATAATAATCAATATAAAAACCAAAAATAAAAAGATTATTAGAAAACAACCAGTCACATAAAAGAAATTTCAACTGATTATGAGGAAAGTTTTAATAGAATAGAAAAGAATTAAACTATTGTTAAGACTAAAAGAGAAGAAAAAGAGAAAAAAATAAAAAAATTCAAGAAAAATAACTTGACTTAATAACAAATTTTATATATAATAATTAAGATCATTTGTATATAACCTTATTAACTAGTCTAATACAGCCTCTGAACAAAGATAAAATTCTTATTCAGTATGACAGACCATCTCTGAGTACTCATAGAAGCAACTAAAGAATGTCAAACCAGAAATTTTAAGTTAAAATATGCATAAAATATGTACAAGAATCTTAATAAAAATTTATAACAAAGCTGCCAAAGTTGAAAAAAATTTTTTTTTGCTCTATATATGAAAATAAATAAGCAATAAATATTAAAAAAACAGGTATGCACTATCACTAGTTGTTGAAACTAGTACCCTAGCCATGGCGAAAAAAAAGTGAGTCACATAAGTTTGGCCAATCAGCGCAAATCAAAACAATCGAATAAGTGTATGAATTAAAGTAATAAATATTATTATTAGAGTTAGGATAAACTTGAGATTATGACATAAAATATATCAATATTTAGCAAGAAATTTTTTCTGTTAGTACGCAAAAGGTTGTTTCATTACCGAATTTTCAAAAAAAAAAACCAAAAAGAACAATTTTTACGATACACCTGATCTTGTTATCTAATTGGCTGGATTCCGAAAACTCACGTGACTGACACTTTCTTTTCGCCATGGCTAGGGTACTTTGTTGAAACGTTCGGGTATTTCAGATAGTGAAGAATCGGTCTGTCATTGAACAATCGGTTGAATTCTCATAGGCAGAAGTTTGTCTGATTGGTTAATAAATTCAATTTAGTTTTACATTATTTATACAGTTTAGAGTACTTTTTAAATAAACGAAAACTAATCACAATGAAATAAAAAAAGCTGTATAGAAGGGTTCTTTAGAGCTGTAGGACTCCATAGCCAAAAATTAGGTCTAATTCTCATCCGTTTAAAAGAGTTAGTATAGTAATAACTTCTCAAAACCCGATAAAATCAACTTCTTACTAGGCCAATTTTTTTAAACGGACGAGAATTAAATCTAATTTTTGGCTATAGAGTCCTACAGCTCTAAAGAACCCTTCTATACAGCTTTTTTTATTTCATTGTGATTAGTTTTCGTTTTTTTATAAAGTACTATAAATAATGTAAAATTAATTGAATTTATTAGCCAATCAGACGAACTTTTGCCTACGAGGTGAATTCGGAAACAATGTTTCAGGAAAACGGCCTTTTTAACTTACTTTCAACTAATAATGAAACATCTATACACTTAATTATGATCGTTTTTGTAAAAACTCATATTGTAATAATTTTTAACAATAAATAATTCTCAATCATGATTGGCTAATTATGATAAAAAATGATTGTCAGTGAAATAATACCTTCTGGCTAACCTAAAGAAGATGGAAAGCCGCATTTACTTGAAGGAGAAATCCGGACCGATTCGAAGTAGTGAGTCCTGATCGTAGCACAAGATAGAGATCAGTTAATAGTGAGAATTAGAAGACTGAAAGCATAAATTGTAGAGAGAATTACTAACTCACAAATCTAAACGCCTCTTCTATTAACCTGTTCGTAGGTTACGTGGAATTAGTAAGTTGGAGTGACTGATTCGCTGTTTACGTAGCCGCCTCTTAATTACACAAGAAAATTATGGAAGATGGACAACAAATACGATCATCGGATATGAAAATTCTGAAAAATGTGAAAAGTTGTTGGTCCGTAGGTCAAATAGTCTTCCAATATAAAATAATAAATTATTATATAATCATTGAAATTCGGAGATTTACCGGTTGTTTTTTCCAAAACTTTATTTATCATCCAAATGATTCCGTTCCTAATTTGAGTTTTAGTTGAAAATTGAGATTATTAAAATCTTAGTTTATAGTAAACGCATGTACGAAATAGATCTAATGGTTTGTTTACACCTCTACTGGTACAAATTTCACGTTGACTCAATAACCATAATATTTGTTCCCGTGCTAAGCACATTAACTACGCTAGTATCATTGAAAATCTTGGCGCTCGCATACGTATCACCTCAAAATTTTAGTGCGAATTAAAGAAATCAACCGATCTTCCTCAAATAGTCATTAAAGATCACAAAATCGGAACGATATATTTGATCTCCCATATGGTGAATGGACTATCTGTGGAAAGAAAAACACTGATAAGAAATCTAAAAAAAAGATAAGTATGGTTGGTCAAAGATTTTCTTAGTTGAACTACCAGATAGTCATTTATTAAAGTCAAAATTATGTAAATGTATAACAAATTAAGAACGTTTTTACTCATACATTATATTTATTCTAAATCTTAAAAGATTAAACTAACAGTAAAAGATCCAATAATGGATATTGATAAGAGCCTTTTATGTATAGGTCTTGTGAACCATGCTTAGATAAAAATTCAAATAAAAAACTAATATTATATAAAAAATAGTAAATATTAATATTAATAAATAATATCGATATTGTTATTACATATATTACATATAATTCTGATAATGATTTTATTGTTCTGTCGAATTTTATTACTATCATGTCCGTATAAGGTATACAAACCTTAATTTTTGAAAAATTTATCATTATCTTTTATTATATAATAAAAAATAAATCCGCTCTTTTTTTTTTCCTTAAGAAAAAAAAAAACTTATCACGAATTTTTATTGGAAATATTTACTTTCAGTATAATTTCCAAAGATGACTGATGAAAAAAATTCACTCTACGGTGGAAGCCAATCAAGTGATGCTAAGTCAATTGATATTTATGATGAAAATTTACATCTAGCTGAAAAGCAAAAAAAAATTTTCCTTGCAATTTGTGGAGTTTTTATAAGTGAATTAAATGGAAAAGAATTCGACGTTTATATGAACACAAAAACTTATACGAATGTCCCAAAAAATGCCAATAATATTAAAGAATTTGGACAGATAAATTTCGAAAGTAAAGATGATTTTTCGGCAAGACTATTCGATCGTCTGCAAAAAACTACTCATCCACATCAATTTGCTCGAATTAGCTCTATGTTAAAGAAAATGTGTAGTAAAATGACTAGTTATTCAATGACAAATTCACCGACAAAACTTTTTTATGAACTCAGTTTAGAACAACGCGCTGCCGCTGTTGCTAAATGGAGTACTAGTCAAAAGGCATCGATTAGACAATTTTATAGAACCATTTCTTATGTGGCTCGCACTGCCTTCTGGTTAAATCCTTATGGCATTTATCCGGCAATCGGTTATCCAGGACCTGATCCTGAAAAAAATGGACCAAGATTTAAAGGACGTACATTCCCAGAATATGAATTTATTAAAATTACGGAAGATACAAATGATTTGGAATTTGATGTTGTTATTATCGGTTCTGGAGCAGGTGGAAGTGTGGCGGCTGCACGTTTGGCAAGAAAATCTGGTAAATTTATAAATGTTAATATAAGTCTTAAATCGATAATTACTAATTATAAATTCAATGTAACAGGTAATTCAGTGCTTGTTATCGAAAAAGGCCATCATTATCATCAAAGTCAGTTGACCTTGAGAGAGAAAGATGGTTATGAAAAATTATACGAACTTGGAGGTGGAATGCTTTCGGAAGATAGTAGGTAAAATTATTTTAAATGTTATCCAATACAGTAATAAATTGTTATTTTTTTTAGAGTTAGTTAACAAGTTTTATTAACATTTTATTAGCATGACCGTTCTTGCAGGATCCAATTTTGGTGGAGGTACCACCGTCAGTTGGTCCACTTCAGTTGAAGTATGTATGCATAAGATTATATACGAGTGCCGCCAAGGAAAGGCCTGCTTTCAACTTTATTTTGTATCAGATACAATTAGACTGATTATGTCCGATGTAAAGTATGATTGAAATCTCAATGTCAGGTTTTCCTTGACGACACCCATATAAAATGTTAAACTATCGTTATTGATTACTTATCGTGTATATCATGTGATCACCGCAGCCAAGTCATTTTGTTCGCGAAGAATGGGCCAATGACTATGGATTGATTCATTTTATGGATGATGATTTCGTTGATTCCATAAAAAACATCAAAAATCGACTAGGTGTCAGTAGTAGCAATGTTATTCACAATGAAAATAATAAGATTCTTATTGAGGGTTGCAAAAAACTTGGTGCACCTGTTGCCACTGTTTCGCAAAATTCCGCATCTAAACTACATGAATGTGGTTGGTGTGGCTTCGGTTGTCGATATGGTGAAAAACAAGGTGCCGCGATGACCTATTTAAAAGATGCTAAAGATTATGATGTTAAATTTATACAAGATTGTTTTGTTAAAAGAGTTATCATTGAAAATAATAAGGCTGTTGGTGTTGAAGCCACCATCAACAATGGAGATAAGAAATTTAAAGTTAATGCTAAGAAAGTTATTGTTGCTTGCGGCGCTCTCCACAGCCCTGCTTTACTTTTACGAAGTGGACTTAAAGATAAGAATATTGGCAAGAATTTATACACTAATCCTATGGCTGCCGTTTATGGTATATTCCCTAATAAAGAAGTTAAAGCTTATTCTGGAACTATCCAAAGTGCGGTATGCATATATTCAGTTCGACTATGTACACGTGATTTATCATAGAAAATTAACCAATATGAATGTACAGGTATGTGACGCCAAAGAAAATGTCGACGGAGAATACCATGGCGTAAAAATAGTCGTTGGATCTTGTCATCCTGCCATGATGTCTACAAGTTTCCCTTGGAAATCTCCATTACAACATAAACAATTTATGCTTCAATACAATCATATTGTTCCGCTTCTTATCATAGCTCGTGACAGAGATCCGGGTCAAATTAAAATTGACTCCAAAGGTCTTCCGAAATTAGATTATAAATTAAGTCCGCATGATGCTGAAAGTGTCATCGCCGGAATATTGACAAGTCTCAAAATCCTTGTCGCGGCTGGAGCAACTAAAATTGGAACATGTCAAACTGAGGTAGAAGAATTTGAGATCGTAGGTGAAAATTCATTGAATGATCCTAAGTTTTTACAATACCTTGAGAAAGTTAAGAAAGTTGGGGTTTCTAATGGACAAGCTTGCCTTGGAAGTATATATCAAATGGGAACTTGGTATGGGCAATATAGTTATTATTTTTATTATGTGAATTTTTTTTTTAATAAATCTTGTTTTTAGTCGAATGGGAAGTGATAAGGCTAAATCCGTGGTAAATCCTTTCGGAGAAACATGGGATGTAAAAAATCTTTATGTTGCAGACTCTAGTGTATTTCCTACCTCGGCTGGTGCTAGTCCAATGGTAATTTTATATGCCATTATTTTTGTTTATTTATGCAAATAATACTAATTTCACAAAACTAATTCAATATTATTATTTAATTTTCAAAGATAACAACAATGAGTATAGGATTCTATGTTGCAAATTGTATCCTTTCTGAAAAAGAATTTGTCAAGAAGGTAAAATTTAATTCTCTGCCCAGATACGATGGCCACTTCTTTATAATATTAATCTATTATTTTACAACAATTTAGAGGCAAAGTGCAATGCTCGGAACTCCAAACAGTACGTTTACTGATAATACTAATGCTGATAAGAGATCATCAAGAAGAAGATCATTGCTTTCTTCTTTTGGTTCAAAACGGTTTTCCATGTCCAATTAATGTTTTATATCCTAATATATATTTTTGATAAATGTCTATACATAATCATTCTCGATACAATTATTCTTTATTCATATGATATAATTATTTTTAATACATAAAATAGAGGATGGGTATTTTTTAGTGTTTATTAATTTATTATATGATTTATTATGAATTATTTTATGTATTTTATTATTTACTAGTCATTTCAAATTTAAATAAAATTCTATAAAAAAAAAAGATTGATGATCTCTTTCTCCTGACCATCACGTTTAGGAAAGAGGGTAATTTTAAAAGACAAAATAAACTCAACTCAAGGCTTTACTAACTTCAAAAACAGTAGCAGAACAGGGGCTCTTCCTCTTGTTCCTAGAAAGCGCAAGACTTTTACCTTTGAAGTCTACAAAAATAAGAAAAGTAAACTGGCAACAAGCCTTTTGATTAAAAAACAACTAACTAAAACTACAACTAATTTCCTTCTGGGAAAAAATATTATGGCAACAGAAACTACCTATGATGATTTAACTGTTACTATGCAGGATGACTCCTTGGATAGTATTAGCTGGGATGAACAAGTTACGTTGGAAAATGAAAAGAGACTTCTTGAAGAGGAAATAGACCAAAACAACAACACAGTCGTGTCTAGTTCCAAAACATGTCTTGAAAAACAAAATAATAAGGAAAACAAAACAACAACATCTCATATAGAACAAAACAACACATCTTTTGCAAAACCTGATGTAACAGATACAAACAAAAACAAAGGGACCTCAATTAAATCATGGTCAAGCCTTTTCACAAAAGTCAAGAGAGGACAGTCAACCTTCTCTTCATTCTCACCAAGAAACAACATAAGATCTAAAAATGTTAATGCACTCATACTAGATATCCATAACCTTAATGGTTCATTAAATAAAATTATGATCTCATTCTATGAGACAGCAGGATGAAACATAATTGCTGCTAAGCCACATATAAATAGAGGATCTCGTATTCATTTAGAACTAATCTTCACCAATAAGGAAAAGCTTAAACACTATGCTACAAAAGGAGTTGAAATTTTTAATCGTACATACTATGGACATATTCCAGTCGACTCTAGAAGATCCTTCTTGCCAGTCAAGATTAGAAATGTTCCTTTAGGGGATAAGGAATTTATCTCAGAAAGAATTAAAAATGCTTTCAAGAATTTTGGTAAAATTGCATCAATTAAGCCATTGTTAATAGAAGGCACACCTTATCTAACAGACCAGTGGATTATTATTTTTAAGACCACAGATGACGCAGACTTAGAAAAAAAAATTCCCCGATTTTATATTCTACTTGACAACAAGATTACTACAGAATGGTGTGCAGCTTCCAAGCTCTGCTACTTCTGTGACAATGAGGGACATATTAAAAAAGACTGCAAGCAATACCAGGAAGCTAACAAGCTCCGTCATCAATATAAAGAATTTCTTTCTAACAAAAGAAAAGGAAAACTCCTATCAGTAGGCTTAGAAAATACAAATGCAATCCAACAAGAACAAAACAACATCTCAGAAGAGCTAAATATTGAAAAGCATCAACAAGAAGAAACTCTTTTAAATACAGCTATCAGTAAAGAAAACAATGAAACAAACAGCACTATATCAGCAGAAAAAGATCTTAACTGTATGGTTGAGAAGGTCATGAATAATATTAATGATGAATCACCTGTTATAGAAGATCCAGCTATAGGTTCGTCAATGGAAATTGAAAAACCAAAAACTCAAAACATTTCAGTTGTACTTATTGCAAATGACAACAAACTACAACTCCAATCAGAAAGCCTAGATGATGGATTCACCTTAATTCCACAAAGGAAAAAAAAGGACAAAAAAAGTAAAAAAGATCTTACAAATCAGAAAGTTGAAACAACTAGACCTGCTTCTTACAAAAAACCTCGTAATGGAGCACAGAATTTACAGATCTGAAATCTGTATTACTCTACTTAAATATGACTGAACAATTTAAATTTAAAATTGCAAGCCTTAACGTAAAGGGGCTGAACAACCAACAAAAACAACGAAACACTTTAACTCTTTTAAAATCTTACAAACTAGACCTTATTATATTACAAGAAACAAACTTAAATGATAAGAACACACAGAGCTTTCTTAAAAATCAGTGGATTTTCGATTCAATCTGGTCAAACAAGATAGCTATACTCGCAGGCAACAAAGATATTATATTTAAGAACACAAAAATGGATTTAGATAATAGAATTATTATTACTAATTTCAAATTCAAAGATCTTACATTCCAAATATCCAATATATATGCACCACCTAATCCAAACGATAGAAAACTTTTCTTTGAGAAATGGTCTCCACAAATCAATAAAGATGCCATCAATATAATTGAAGGTGACTTCAACACTAATTTATATCCTGAAAAGAATAGAACTAGCGAAGCAGCTTCTTAACGAGATCCAACAAGAACACAACTTCTAAGCCTTACTAGAAACTTTACAGATACTTCAGATTTTGCCAAAACAAGACCTTTTCATACATTTTTTCAAAAAACACAAGGCAATCGAACAATGGTTACACATCTAGATTATATTTTCATCGATGAGAATAATGCTCATCTTATCTCACAAATTGATACTAGATTTGGAAACTCAGACCATCTTCTGGTAGAATGCACCCTTCTCTTTAAAGCCAAAGGAAGGGAGTCAGCTTTGTGGAGATTTAATAAAAGCTGCTTCCTAAACGAAAGGCTAAAAAAAGAAGTGCTAGAAGAAATCGTAGAATTTGAAGAAGCTAATGACTGGGACTATTGTAAAGTTCACATTCAATCTATTATAAGAGCATTCAGAAAGCCAAAAGCCACAGAAAACAAGATTACAAAGCTAAACAAAAATATAACTCAGCTAAAAGAATGACTAGCTTACAACTCAGAAAATTCTTTTCTACACAATCAAATAGATAGACTAAGCCTAGATCTCCAAGATGAACTTTCACATTTTATAGAAAAATGGCAAACTCGCTCAAAATTACAATGGATTGAGCAGGGAGAAAAATCTACAAAATACTTTTTTACTAGATACAAAATTAGAAAAGCAAACTCATCTTTAAGAAACATCAAGAATCCTAAGACCTCATTACAATCATGTGAAAATACTCTCCATTATATCAAAGACACATATGCTAAAATTTACAAGAAAGAAGATATAAATATGAACTCAGCCAAAAAAATCACAGAAGATCTGCCTCAAGCTTCAGTAGCTCACAACTCAATACTCATTTAAGACATTACTCAAGAAGAGATTAGCAATGTTATTAAAAACCTTCCAACTAACAAAACCCCAGGTACTGATGGTCTAACATATGAGTTTTACAAACTCACCAACGAGATCATAACTCCAATCTTACACAAAGTATTTAATCAAGCACTAAACTCTGGAATTATGCCAACCTCTTGGTGCAAGAGCTTGATCTCTCTAATACCTAAGAAATCAACAGATTTGGAAAATATAAATAACTGGAGACTCATATCTTTAGTAAACAGTGATACAAAAATATTTATGAAGATTATAGCTAATCGACTGAACTCTATCTGTGAAGATCTTATACCACATCAGCAGCATGGATTTATTCAAAATAGATCTATTACAGATGCAGCACTAGATATTATTACAACTATGAGAAACCAGCCTGACTCATCTAAACAACATTGGCTACTTTTTGTCGATCAGCGAAAAGCCTTTGACTGAGTCAGCCATGACTTTTTAAAGCTTACTCTAGAAAATATGAACTTTGATTCTAAATTTATTAATCTGGTTCATAACCTCTTTTCTTGTCAAGAAGCCCATATTATCGAGGCAGGCGATATTTCTAAACCTTTCAGAGTTAAAAAAAGAGTTAGACAAGGTGATCCTCTTTTGTCATTGCTATATGTATTAGCTTTTGAGCCTCTTATAAGAACTCTGGAAAAACAAATACAGGGAATCAAATTGGAAAACCAATTTTTTAAAACTTCAGCATATGCTAATGACTTGACTATAGGAATTGGATCTCCCTTTGACTGGAACGAGGTACAAGCTTCGATAAGCTTATATGAGGCTGCTTCAAATGCAAAGATTAATAAAACAAAAACAAAACTAGACCCACTTACTTCTATTGCACGAAGAGTAGAGCTCTGTAATGAAGAACAATTTACCAAGTTGAAAGAACAAGACACTATTACTATTTTAGGATATGAGGTTTTCATAAATGGACAACCAAAAAAAGACCTTTGGACTACAACTATTAATAAGCTAAAAGGATCACTCAACAAACTTTCAAATAGAAATCTCTCCTTTAAAGGAAAAATTCTTATTGCAAAGTTACTTATTCTATCCAAAATTTGGTATGCAGCCTATCTGCTACCTCCTAATAGGAAACAAGTAGTGGAAATAAATAGAATTATCTCTTTTTGGATCAAAAGTTCTTCACGAATACTTCCCAGATATTCAACTTTTCAACAACCCGTTGACCTGGCAGGACTTCAAGCTCTGATTATTAAAGATATGTTAGATGCATGTCTAATTTCTGTTTGGATAAAACTTTTTACCTCAAATTCAACATGGGCATTATATGAAAGAAGCAAAATAAGTATGATACTTAGAGAAAAAAGAAATATTTCACCATTACAGGCTTTAAACTCAGACAATATATGCTTAAAAGCTTGGCCTACAGA